GCAATAAACACAGTGTTGTAAACCTGCAAGACCTCATTTGTGCTTGTGTCTGAGCAGGAGAGCTGCAGGAGGGTGGGCAGCTCACAGAAGAAGTGGTTGATGCTCCTGGCCTGACAGAAGGACAACCTCCCTGCCAGCATGATGTGCACCAGGGAGGTGAGGAACCCGATGGTGTACACCAGCACCATCATGCCATAGCAACGTGCCCTGGTCATGGTAGTGGTGTAGAGCAGGGGCTTGCACACAGCCGTGTATCGGTCATAAGCCATTACCCCAAGCAGGAAGCACTCACAGACAGCCAGAGCCATGAAAACATACATCTGGGCAAAGCAACCCCAAAAGGAGATGTGGCTTCTCCCCAGCAGGAAGGTCTCCAGAGCTTTTGGGATGATAGCGGAGGAAAGGCAAACATCCATGCAAGATAAGTGGCTCAGGAAGAAGTACATGGGGATGTGGAGGTGGGGGTCAGTGTTGATCAGTAGGATCATCGTCAGGTTCCCCAGCACCATTAAAACATAGAGGGATAAGAAGACTGTGAAGATGGTGGTTTGTAGCTCTGGGGCATCAGAGAAACCCAAGAGGATGAAGCTGGAGAGAACCGTGATGTTTCCTGTATCTGTCATTTCAACAAGTTGATGGATTTGGATTGAAATGAAAGGAATCAGTGAAATACATCCCTTAGAGATAAATAATGTGGAAGTTTAGTTAGAGTTTAATCCACAAAGTAAATGCAATGGCAAATGGTGTATTTGTAATGGTGTATTTCTGTGTGTAGCCCAAGATCTGAAGTCAAAGAGGTGAATGAGCTCATTACACAACCTGAAATTAAAAGAGAATAATTCTACGATGATTGATATACACTGCACTAATGAAACACTGGGAAACATCATGTCTATCCAAATGTAATGCAATAAAATCAAATTAGTACGTCCACAAATGTGGAAAACAGAAAACATTTTGCCTTTTCTGATTTCTGGGAATTTTAAGGACCTTTTTTTCTCTCTTTTTCTGTATTTTTCAGAGTGGATCAGTGCTCTTCTGTAGATTCATTACTTGTGCTGCATCCTTTTCATCAAAACACAAAGCCATGTACTTGAAATTTGCTTTAAGTTCTAAGTTTATCTGCTTTTGAGGGACTCCCACCCTGCATAATGTTAAGGGAAAGCAGTGGTCTTAGCTCTAGCAGAGCTTTCCTGTGATTGCAGTGAGCTGCCTATGACCAACCCAAATATGCATCTAAGGGTGTAAAATATATCATATATAAACCAAAATTTTAAGGCTTTAGCTTGGATATTCTCCACAATTCAATTCCTCTGCAGATGAATTACTTGATGGAATATCAATCTATGAATGGCTACATCAGTGCTAAAATACCCCTAAATCTGTTGTAGATGGGGTCAGGAACGTGGGTTTTTGAAGCAAAGCTACCCCGTACTAGCGCACGTTTATTCAAACCACATACTATCATAGAATGCTTTGGGTTGAAGGGACCTTAAAACTCATCCAGTCCCAGCCTCCTGCCAAGAACCCCCACCCTGCATAAAGTTAAGGGAATACAGTGGTCTTAGCTCTAGCAGAGCTTTGCTGGGATTGCAGTGAGCTTCCTATGACCAACCCAAATATCCATCTAAGAGTGTAAAATACAAAATATACCATATATAAATCAAATTTTTAAGGCTTTAGCTTGGATATTCTCATGCTAAAATATCGCTAAATCAGTTGTAGATGGGGTCAGGAAGGTTGGTGTTTTTGAAGCAAACCTACCCCATACTAGGGCACTTTTATTCACATCATCGGATATAAGACAATATTTTGGGTTGAAGGCAGGTTAAAGCTCACCCAGCTCCAAGCCCTGCCATGGGCAGGGATGCCTTCCACTGGAGCAACTTGCTCCAAGCCGCTGTGTCCAACCTGGCCATGAACACTGACAAGGATGGGGCAGCCACAGCTTCTCTGGGCACCCTGTGCCAGTGCCTCAGCACCCTCACAGGGAAGAACTCCCTTAACTCAAACCTGAATTTCTCTGTTTTAGTTTAAACCCATCACCCCTTGCCCTATCAATACAGTCCCTGAAGAACAGTGAAATTCAACATGCCATCAAAGCATGGGAGAGGTAGCATGACCAGGGTCAAACTGGACCCACCACCCATCAAACCCTTTTGTACCTGCTTGGTTAAAGAGGAAGGTAGTGGTGGATGCAGTGCCTGCAGCTCCTCCTGGAGACCATGCGATGGGTTGAAGGAGAGATGCTTGGGAGCAGGATGCTCCAGGCTGGCTGCTGGAGGGGTTTTATCTCACAGGAGGCATTACCTCAGAGGCTTGTATTGTGCAAACTGTTCTCCCAAAGGACCCTCCTCCATCGGATAATTAGTTTGACTTGATCAGCAAAACAACCTCTCAATTCCTCTCTCCCCAGACTCCTTCTGGCTGCATCAACACCTCCAAGACCAGTTCTCCTGCAGAGACCTACCCAGGAAGACAGGCCCAGGACAGTTTGCTTTGTATTTCCCCATCTATCACATACCTCTTCCTTTCAGTGTTTCCCTGAGGAAGCCCTTTACATCCACAGGGTTCATCTAATATTGCATTGAAGGGAGCTGTGGTATTCACAGAGCCAGGGGTAAAACAAGTCAGGGGATTACACATTAACCGCCAGGGAGCTGTCAGACCAGGCAAGGGTCAGCCCAAAGGGCTCCCAAGAGCCAGGTCAGGATACACCCAACAAGTTTTAAAATTAATGGCACCAGAAGGTCTTATTTGAAAAATATCAGCCCCTTTAAGAGTTTTATCCAGCCTTCAAAAATCCCCAAACCTGGTTTAGTACATAGCAATATGTAGTGTGTCATATCCGTATTCAAAAACAAGATTACCTCTTGAAAAGCACTCTTGGAAGTGTTCAACCCTCTGTGTAGGTGAAATCCAGCTCTCCTTTATCTCAGTTCATGCTGTTACTTAGAAGGAAAAATAAAAGCACAACTTCTTTTTCATTTTGATGCAAATGCCTTTACTTTTCAATCAGAAATGCTTCCATTACTGTCCCAGCTTGAAGTCCCAGATGCAGACAGCTGGGTACTGCATTTGCTCCAAAGCTTCATCAAGGGACCCAGGCCAGCAGCACCTTGGGTGTTCAGGGGAGAGGAAGACCCCAAATCCTCCCTCCTAACAGCACTCAGGCTCTTTGCACCCCTACTTAAATTCCCAGCAGAGCAGAGGCTCAGATATGACTCGTCCCCATTTAGCACAAAGGCTTTGTTGACCAGCAGACTGTCAGAGCTTTATTTCTTAGAATTGCAGCTTGGTTTGTGTTGAAAGGGACCTTAAAGCTCATCCAGCTCCAACCCCTGCCACAAGCAGGGACACCTTCCACTAGAGCAGCTTGCTCCAAGCCCCTGTGTCCAACCTGGCCTTGAACATTTCCAGGGATGGGGCAGACACAGCTTCTCTGGGCACCCTGTGCCAGCACCTCAGCACCCTCACAGGGAAGAGGTTCTGCCTAAGAACTCATCTCAGTCTCCCCTCTGGCAGGTTAAAGCCATTCTCCTTGGCCTGTCCCTACAGGCCCTTGGCCAAAGCCCCTCCTGCAGGTTTCTTGTAGCCTCCTTCGGACACTGGGAGCTGCTCTGAGGTCTCCACGCAGCTTCTCTTCTCCAGGATTAACAGCCCCAATGTTCCCAGCCTGGCTCCATATGGGAGGAGCTCCAGCCCCTGCCCATCCTCATTGCCTCCTCTGGACTTGCTCTAGCAGCTCCATGTCCTCCTTGTGCTGGGGACACCACAGCTGTATCAAACCCTTTGGTTCTACCCTCAGTTCATCACCGAGAACATGCTTATGAAGTAGGCAATGGAGACAATGGTCACTGCCTTACCTCAAGGCTGAGCCTCCTGTTTGTGGGCACTACTTTCATTTAGCACAATTTAAACACAAAACACATGGTGCTGTCTCAGTCCTGCTATTGAAGAGCTGATACTTATTTGGATGAATTACTGAAGGCTCAGGCCTCGCTTAAAACCACCTGAACCTGTTTGAAGAGAACCATTCCTTGTGCTGGTTCTCCACAACCTGCACTTGCTTTGTGATCTCCTTATCTGTAATCGGATCATAGAATAGTTTGGGTTGGAAGGGACCTTCAAAGGTCATCTAGTCCAACCCTCCTTCAATGAGCTGGGACAACTTCAACTAGACCAGGTTATCCAGAATTGCGTCCAGCCTGGCCTTCAGTGTCTCCAGGGATGACACATCCACCACCTCTCTGGGCAACCTTTGCCAGTACTTTACCACCCTCCTTCTTAAGAATTTTTTCCTCTTACCCAGCCCGAATTGCCCCTCCTTTAGGTTAAACCATTACTCCTCATCACAACAGGTCCTGCTAAGAAGTCTCTCCCCATCTTCCTTATAGGCCCCTTTTAAGAACTGAAAGGCTGCAGTAAGGTCTCCCCTGTCTTCTCCAGGCTGAACAACCCCAGCTGTGTCTGCCATTCCTCATAGCAGAGGTGCTCCATCCCTCTAATAATTTTTGTGGCCCTCCGCTGGACCCTCTCCAACAGGTCTATGTCTTAACTCACAACCAGTAGGCAGTACTCTACTAGACTTACAGTACAATGCTATTTTCAAAGATATTTAGAGAAGTATTGTGAGCCAGTAGCCTTCATCAACAAATCTGCAGACTTGTTTATATATATATACATATATATATATATATGGAAAAGACCTGCTGACATGGAACACTGCTCCTCTCCCATCTAACCGTTACATGGATCCTTCCTCAAAAACAGAAAAGGTACAGTGTCACTCACCTCAACTCACCAGTAAAAACATGGGTTTTTTTTAATAAAAAAATGACCAGTAGTGAGCAATAATGACCAATAATGGCCAGTAATGCTCAATTCCATAATCACATATTCCACATATTCCTTCCTTACCTCCACAGTACTGAAGGGCTCCAAACGTGCTTTCAAACCCTGCATAGATGTGGCAGCAGTTTTTGCTCCCACAGCCTTCTCAGAGCCCCCTTCACCTCCTTGTTCCTCAAGCTGTAGATGAGGGGGTTGAGAGTTGGGGTGAGGATGGAGTAACACAGTGACACCAGCTTTGCCTGATCCCATGAGGATGCCTCATGAGGCTGGACGTAGGTGAGGATCCCGGGCGCGTAGAAGATGGTGATGGCAGCCAAGTGGGAGGTGCAGGTAGAGAAGACCTTCAGCCTCCTTGTGGCCAAAGGGATCTGCAGGACAGTGTGGAGGATGTAGGTGTAGGAAACCAGGATCATCAGGAGAGGGCCCATGACGTTAAACACAGTGTTGTAAAAAAGCAAGACCTCATTTGTGCTTGTGTCTGAGCAGGAGAGCTGCAGGAGGGTGGGCAGCTCACAGAAGAAGTGGTTGATGCTCCTGGCCTGACAGAATGACAACCTTCCTGCCAGCGTGATGTGCATCAGGGAGGTGAGGAACCCGATGGTGTACACCAGCACCATCATGCCATAGCAACGCGCCCTGGTCATGGTAGTGGTGTAGAGCAGGGGCTTGCACACAGCCGTGTATCGGTCGTAAGCCATTACCCCATAGAGGAAGCACTCACAGGCAGCCAGAGCCACGAAAATATACATCTGGGCAAAGCAACCCCAAAAGGAGATGTGGCTTCTCCCCAGCAGGAAGGTCTCCAGAGCTTTTGGAATGATAGCGGAGGAAAGGCAAAAATCTATGCAAGATAAGTGGGTCAGGAAGAAGTACATGGGGATGTGGAGGTGAGGGTCAGTGTTGATCAGCAGGATCATCGTCAGGTTCCCCAGCACCATGAAAACATAGAGGGATAAGAAGACTGTGAAGATGGTGGTTTGTAGCGCTGGGGCATCAGAGAAACCCAAGAGGATGAAGCTGGAGAGAACCGTGAGGTTTCCTGTATCTGTCATTTCAACAAGTTGATGGATTTGGATTGAAATGAAAGGAATCAGTGAAATACACCCCTATGAGAGAAATAATGTGGAAGTTTAGTTGGAGTTTAATCCATAAAGTAAATGCAATGGAAAATGGTGTATTTGTAATGGTGTATTTCTGTCTGTAGCTCAAGGTCTGGAGTCAAAGAAGTGAAGGAGCTCATTACACAACCTGAAATTAAAAGAGAATAATTCTACCATGATTGATATACACTGCACAACTGATACACTGAGAATCATCATGTCCATCAAAGTATAATACAGTAAAATCAAATAAATACATCACAAAATGTGGAAAACAGAAAAGATGCTGTATTTTCTTCACTGACTTCTGGGAATTTTAAGGAATTTCTTTTCTCTTTTTTTGTATTTTCTTTATTTCTGGGAATTTTAAGGAATTCTTTTCTCTCTCTTTTGTATATTTCCAACTGGATGAGTGCTCTTCCATAGCTTCATTAGTTGGGGTGGATCCTTTTCATCACAACACAAAGACAAGTACTTGAAATTTTCTTTCATTTAAGTTCTAAGCTTATTTGCTTCTGAAGAACCCCCACCCTGCATAAGGTTAAGGGAAAGCAGTGGTCTTGGTTCCAGCAGAGCTTTTGCTTTGATTGTATTGAGCGTGCTATGACCAACCCAAATATCCACCTGGAGGTGTTAAATATATGACATATAAACCAAAATTTTAAGGCTTTAGCTTGGATATTATCATCGCTGCCATTCAATACCTCTGCATATGAATTATCTGATGGAATATCCGTCTATGAATGGCTACATAGCTACTAAAATAACCCTAAATCACTTGTGCATAGGGTCAGGAATGGGGGCGGGGGGGAGGGGGGGTTGGGTTTGAAGCAAAGCTACCATGTACTAGGGCACTTTTATTCACACCATGGGCTATCATAGAGCTCTTTGGGTTGAAGGGAAATTAAAGCTCACCCAGCCCCAACCCACTGCCATGGGAAGGGACCCCTTCCACTAGAGCAGCTTGCCCCAAGCCCCCAAGCCCCTTTATCCAACATGGCCATGAACACTGCCAGGGATGGGGCAGCCACAGTTTCTCTGGGCACCCTGTGCCAGTGCCTCAGCACCCTCACAAAGAAGAACATCTTCCTAATCTCCAACCTGAATTTCCCTGTTTCAGTTTAAACCCATCACCCCTTGCCCTATCAATACAGACCCTGAAGAACAGTGAAATTCAACATGCCATCAAAGCATGGGAGAGGTAGCACGCCCAGAGTCAAACTGGACCCACCACCCATCAAACCCTTTTGTACCTGCTTGGTTAAAGAGGAAGGTGGTGGTGGATGCAGTGCCTGCAGCTCCTCCTGGAGACCATGCGATAGGTTGAAGGAGAGATGCTGGGGAGCAGGATGCTCCAGGCTGGCTGGTGGAGGGGTTTTATCTCACAGGAGGCATTACCTCAGAGGCTTGTGCTGTGCAAACTGTTCTCCCAAAGGACCCTCCTCCATCGGATAATTAGTTTGACTTGATCAGCAAAACAACCTCTCAATTCCTCTCTCCCCAAACTCCTTCTGGCTGCATCAACACCTCCAAGACCAGTTCTCCTGCAGAGACCTACCCAGGAAGACAGGCCCAGGACAGTTTGCTCTGTATTTCCCCATCTATCACATACCTCTTCCTTTCAGTGTTTCCCTGAGGAAGCCCTTTACTTCCACAGGGATCATCTAATATTGCATTGGAGGGAGCTGAAAACAAGCACAACAAAGTATCCTCTGTGTGGATGGTTTGTGCTGGTCATGGGGAGTCCTTTCCATCACATGCATTTATTTCCATACATTTGACTAGTGATTGTACAATAGTTTGGTCAAAAGCATTGTTCTACATTGCTGATTTGTGGATATATCAGGATGAAGTCATATTTCCCAGTCTTCATCTGAAGAATCCTGAGTGCTGGTGTGTCCTGAATGCTTCTCCTAGATGAAGAGACATTATAAAACCCTTAGGGGAAATATTAACTGATAACCTTGTCCCAGACATTTAGAAAAGACAAAGGATGGAGCAATCAGGCGAGAAAACCAAGCTATGAAAGTGTGGGAAAGGAAGAAGGAGAAGTACACAGGTGGCTTTAAATGTTTTCAATGTCAACCTGTTTTTCTGCTGGAAGGCACCAGACTGACAGTCGGGGAGATGCACTGGAGGAGGGTAGAAAAGGATTTCTGTGTGGTTTTGAATGTCTTTCTTCCCCATTGAGTACTGGGCTAAAACCAAGGCTTGTGAAGTGGGAATATCAATATAACAGAGGGAGAAATAACTCTCAATCAAATTTAGAAAAGAAGAAAAATACATAATTTTAAGATTATTGAAAAGAACAACATGAAGGCAAAAAGAGGCACTAAGAATACGTGCCTTCTACAAGAATAATCAATGGCTTTATGTCCAGCTGGTCTCTCCTTCATCATCACCAAGTGTTTAAATAGGAACATGAACAGTTAATGGCTTGAAAACACAAGTCTGTGGTTACAACCCTATCGCTCTGCTCATTGTGGCTTCACATTGGAGCTGCTGCTATCAAAACCGAAAGCTTTTTGCTCCTTGTTGTGTATGTTTAATGAAACCAGTGGTTTGCTGTGGCTAAGAGCTGCCATTGCCTTCAATGGTGTTATCATCTGATCATGAGAGCAGAAGAAACACCAAGTGAGGTTCTAGGAAGCAGAAGCAGCAGCCAGCATTGCAATGCGTCTTCCTGCTGGGTCATGATGAGCAGGCAATGAGGTGCCTGGCTTCTGGCATTCCTGCTGAGGAGCTCCTAATGGCTTTAGCTCCCCACTCTCAGCTGGAGCTGCTTTCATTGTAGTTAAAACTGGTTTAAAAGCAACTGAGCAAATGCTGGGTAGGAGCTACCTCCCCTTCTTTGGGTACTTAGTGATTGGATTTCGGAATCATCTCCTATGTCCTTGGGCAAGCACTTATCTCCTTACATTTGAATGCACCATGTCACCCCTATGTGTTTACTGGGTCCATCAGCTCCCTTTAGTGTTGAGGGAGATTTGGTGGGGTTCATGCCTCTCACTGCAAGGCAGACACCTCCATTGCTCCAGCTGAAGAGATCTGAATGAGCTCTGCTCATTGCATTGGCCTGAGTCTCATCTGCTGTAATTGGACTTCGGCTCATAAATAGATAAGGAGAGACTCTTGTGTTTGGCTTTTAATGTAAGTCATCAATCTTTAGCCACCTGCAGTGTCAGCATGTGTGTGTAAAGCAGAGACCACAGAGAAAAGCATGCTTCTGTGTGTGATAAGATGTGGGTATTTGATGTGGGATGGGTGATGTTTTGCCCTTTGTTTAGACAAGCTGTGGTATTGAGAATGGCTGGTTTCAGTGGTGTTAGATGCAAGGTGTGTGTTTGAGATGTCTACTCTTTATGTATCTGCAACTTACTTATGTAAGTACTACACAAGGGGAAGGAGGAGAATGAGGATGAGGAGATGGCCATTGAGTGTGTGAGCCATTAGCAATGGGAAACAGCAACTATCTTCTCCTCCTGCCTGAGGTGGGTGTAGACAACTTCAGCTGGATCTTCTGAACCCATTTGAAGGTGTTAAAGCCCTGGCTCCTGTCAGCTGCTTTTTTCTACAAGGAACAAGTCCCACTCTTCCTTTTGCAAGCAGTAAAAAGCCACCCTGAGGTTATTTAAATTTGGAGGCATATAATGCAAAATGTTGTTTCAAAGGCCAGTTTTGGGTCCAAAATGGGCAGGTGGAATCAGACAGACTTCAAAAAGAGAAAATGCTGAGTCCTGCCTATGAGGAGGACTTGCTCTAAGCACTAAGACAGGCTGGGGGGCACCTTATCAGAGAGGGACGAGGCTCTTGTGGTGTCCACTGAGTTGAAATGAGCCATCAATGTGCAATGAACATCTGACCACGGGCTGGGGAATGGAGAAGTAAAAGCTGCTTTGGGAAGGGTGGAGGGAGAAGATGAATTGTGCTGAAGAAATGGCCATCTTGCTTGAAAAGGGGCTGATGGAAAGAGGGAGTGGTAGGGGAAGGAGGATGAATGCTCATTTCTCAACAGGCAACATGTTTATTTGAAGGTCATCTCATCTTTTTAAGGCCTCCATATTTCAAGTTAACATGAACAGCAGTCATCTCGTGTACATCTATATATACACACATGTTCTCTAAATATAAGGAAGAACAGAGGAAGAAATATATGGAAGAATAATTCAGATGAGAAGGGGTTGGTTTTTCCCTTGAAGCTACAAGTACATGGAATTGCATTCAGGGATTCTGGTCTCACTTTAATCGACTCAAACATCACTACAGAGTCAGAAAATCACTCCAATTTGATTTCTTATCTATTTAATGCAACACTAATTCTTGTGGCAGATTAAGGCATGATATTATTCTATTTACTTGTCCTTAAATAAGAACAACTCCCACAGACAGCAAAGAGATTATCCCAAACAAGCCTCCTTCTTAAAAAGAATTTGGATGCCCATGGGAAGATGCTTTTGTTTTGCAGGACCAATTCTTTCCATAACAGGCCAGCCACAGCTTTAGGATTTAAGCTTCAAGATTATTTTTTTCCATATAGGAACTATTGACTATTCTTTTATCAAGGTATTATTTTTCAGTATATTATTTAGGACCTTCAA